TCAGCCGTCTATTGACTGCCGACCACGGTCCTCTTCTCGCGTTGTTATTGGGAGACATCTCTTTGTAAAATGCGGTCAACATGAAGTCATGGAACTTTTGCCTCTTTTGCCTTACATAGCGAAGTTCCAGTGTTGACAACCAGTACTGCTTGCTCGCGTCGCTCAGGATAGGTCAAACCCATTAGACCTTAACAGTCGCACGCAGGAACTTTTTGATTTTTCTGTTGACACAGCTGAGTCTCAATGCAATTTTTGTGCAGTTTGTCAAGGACTCATTTCGTTGGCTATTTTTGTTTCTCCGCCTTCGAAAGCTAGAGGTCAGAATCCACGATCTTCGTCGACAGACTTGGAAGAGCTGAAACCATAGCTGAAAGTGCATCAGAGACTATATTGCTCAATGTTTGCACACAATGAGTGAGATTCGTTGTCCGTTTTTCGTTGCTCGAATAGATACGCTGAGACGATGATCTCTGATCACCCATCCTCAAGCAAAATTTTGGCTCGAAGACCATCTAATCAGTGGCGCACATGATTTAGCAATATGCGTACTGAATTGCTCTTTCGAATGAATGGTCCCATCCTAAGAGATTGTCTTTAAGCTAAGAAACAAAGGCACAAACGGAAGCGACATTTCAACTGTTGCAACCTAATATATAACAGGATGCTCACGCGTCAATTTCTTTGGAGCTCTGATATTATATCTTCTAAACCACTGACTCGGTGTGTCGGTATGTATGTATGTATGTATTGTATAGTATGTATGTTATGTAGGTATGTATTGTATGCATGTATTGTATGGTATGTATGTCATGTATGTAGTTGGATGTAATGTATGATGTATGTATGTATTAGTAATGTATGTATTGTATTTGATGTATGTATGTATGTATGTATGTTATGTATGTATGTGTATGTATGGTTAATGTATGTATGTATGTATGTATGTATGTATGTAGTATGTATGTATGTTATGTATGTATGTATGTATGTATGTATGTATGTATGTATGTATGTATGTATGTATGTATGGTATGTATGTATGTATGTATGTATGTATGTATGTATGTGTATTCATGTATGTATGTATGTATGTATGTATGTTTATGTATGTATGTATGTATGATGTATGTAGTCGTGTATGTATGTATGTATGTATGTATGTATGTAATTGTATGTATTAGGTATGATATGTATGTATGTATGATGTGTTATTGATACAAAGTTGATGTCGGAGGGAAATGTGATGTCTGCGTGTATAAAAAATTCTATAAACGTAAAAAGTGGGGAGCGTGCGTCACGGTGGCGGAAGTATGGATTTGTATGGTATGTAATGTATGTATGTATGTTGTTGTATGTATGTATGTAGCATTATGTGTTTTTTGATACAAAAGTTGATGTGCGGACGAGAAAATGGATGTATGCTGGTAATAAAATTCTATAAAACGTAAAAGTGGGCGGAGCGTGCGCACAGTTGGGCAGATATGGATATGTAGTGTGTATATATGTATGTATGTATAATGTGAATGTATGTCATGATATGTATGTATGTTATTATGTATGTATGTATTATGTTATGTATGTAGTGTATGTATGATTGTCATGTATGTATGTAGTTGTAGTTTTTGATACAAAAAGTGATGTCGGAGGAAATGGATGTATGTGGTAATAAATAAATTTTCTATAAAAACGTAAAAGTGAGGAGCGTGGCGTCAACGGTGGGCCGGAGTATGGATTGTATGTATTGTATGTATGTATTGTATGTATGTATGATATGTATTGTATGTATGTATTAGTATGATATGTATGTTATGTGTATGTATGTTGTTTTTGATTACAAAAGTGATGTCGGAGGGAAACGGACGTATGTTGTAATAAAAATTCTATAAAACGTAATAAGTTGGGGCAGCGTGCGTCACGGTGGCGGAGTTATGGATGTGATTAGATGTATGGTTTATGATATGTATGTATGTATGATGTATGTATGATTAATGTATGTTGTATGTATGTAATGTATTATCGTATGTAGTATGATTTTTGTACAAAAGGTTGATGTCGGAGGGAGCTGATGTATGTGGTAATTAAAAATTCTATAAAACGTAACAAAGTGGCGGAACGCGTGCGTCACAGTGCTGCGGAGTATGGATATGTATTGTGTGTATATATGTATGTATGTATATATGTAGGTATGTGTTTTTGATACAAAAGGTATTAAAGAAGTAATGTGTCGATAGTATAAAAGTCAGCGATAAATGGGGAAACGGGCGGAGTTTGCGGCAGTGGGCGGATGCGATGCGTCACGGTGGGGCGGGGTGAAGCTGTATGTAATGTATGTATGTTGATTATGTATTTATGTATGTATGTAAAGTATGTATGTATGTATGTAGTGTAGTAGATGTATGTTGGATCACCTCGTCCTGTATCCGACTGTCCTACTGCAGCTTCTGCCAATTGCGCAAGTCGACTTTGAACATTCGATTTCCGGTCCTGAGCATGTCTTCTCCATTAGTTGGCGAGATTTTCACCATAGGATCGGCCCATTTCGTTTGGGCCTTCTTGCGATCGTTGTGGTCCAACGGGATCCAATTCATAAGCCTGAAATCGCATCTTGTCATCTTCTGAAACGTGCTTACGTTGCGGCCAAATCTCGTTTCGATTATACATTCCCTAGACAACATCAACAAGGCCACTTCTTCTTCGCAACTCTGCGTTTGTGATATGTTCACCGGTGACACTTTGCAAATTCCGCGTTCCATTGACCTTTGCATCACAGCAAATTTCTCTTCGTCTGCTTTAGTGGGCGACCAGCATTCCGCGCCGTACATCAACGCAGGTATCACCGTTGAGTGAAACAAAGATGCCTTCAGTTTCATCGGGAGGTTATCGTCCAACAATACCCTTGAGATTTTGTTGAAGCTGGACCATGCTGCTTTCCTGCGTTTACTGTATTCCTCTTTAGTGCCTTCATTGAAGCTGAGCTGGTGTCCTAGGAATTTATAGCTTTCCACTCCTTCAATCGTTTCACCGTCCACATTGATAGCCTCTGTATTACTGAACTGATTGTGCATCCACTTGGTTTTTAACAAGTTCATTTCAAGCCCAATTTCATTTGATTTCTTCTGCAACAGCACAAGTTTCTGTTGGAGCTCAAAAGCATTATGTGCAAAAATAACGCAATCATCGGCAAACAGCAGATGAGTCAGCCGTTCTCCATCGATCTCTATGCCATCCGTCCAATCAAGATCACTGAACAAGGCTTCCAGAGTTAGTGCAAACAACTTCGGCGAGATCGTATCACCTTGTCGAACGCCCTTGCAGATTTTTATTTGGCATGGATCGTCGAAGAGCTTTATTTCTGTAGAGTTCAGCTCTTCCAAGAGGTCGAAATAGGACGAACTAACACCATATCTGCTCATAGCAATCAATATCGCGTTTGTTTTAACCGAATTAAAAGCTTTCTTGTAATCTACAAATGCCATGCATAGGGGGATCTGGTACTCTTCACATTTTTCGATGAGCTGACGTACAACGTGCAGATGATCGAGTGTGGAGTAACCGCTCCAAAAACCGGCTTGTTCCCGGCTCATGACTATGTCCAGGTCTTTGACTACGCGATTTAGGATTATTGTGAAGGTCTTATAGATTTGAGAAAGCAACGTGATGGGTCTGTAGTTAGTTAAGCTCTCAGGATCGCCTTTTTTCATCAGTAGTATCGTCCTTGATTTTTTCCACGCTGCAGGTATCCTTTTTTCATGGCAGTATCTGCTGAAACGTTCTGCCATCGCTTTAAATAGATGTAGTCCGCCTGCTTTTAGGTGTTTGGGACGAATTTTGTCGCAGCCAGGGCTTTTCCCAGCCTTTATTTGTTTCACTGCGTTCTCCACTTCTTCCCACATTACTTCTGGGATCGGTTCTTCTGCAACGTTTCGGTAGGTTCTTACAACAACCACCTTTGAGGAGTACAAATCGTTGTAGAACTTTGTACATATCTCGTTCATTCGTGGGCGGTAGGTTGTTCTAACACTGTATCGTCCTTGAGAGCATAGGGTATATGTTGCCTTAGACGGCTATCCCTTTCTACAGCTTTCAGGCTAGCCCTTTTCTCAGCTGCTTCGCGAAGTTTCATTTGTCTGTAGCGTTCATAATCGCACTTGATTTTTTCCCTTATCGCTTCACAGAGTGTCTGGTATTCCTCATTTTGCCTTCAGCCTTCATGCGTGCTCTCCTCTTCATCATCTGCAGTGCTTCTGTCGATATACGTCGTCGCCTTGCGGGCTCTATTGCTATGCTCGATGCTTTCACGGCCTGAGTTATTTTTCCCACTAGATCTTCATAGTCGGCATCGATATTGCTTCCGGTATTCATGTGTAATCTGACGACTCTATCATCGCAGCATACAATATCGGCATTGAAAGTTTGTCGTACGAGTGTTCTTTGTGAATGCAGAACTCGATGTTCTTTCCTGGCACCGAAGAGGATCACCGAACGCAAAAGCCGATGATCGGAGCCAGTCGTTATCACATTTTCCCCTATAACAGAGACGTCAGCAAACAGTCTTGGCGTATCGGTCAGCACATAATCAATTTGCCTCCGAGTTCTCGTGTCTGAGCTTCTCCATGTCCAAAGACGCTTCGCTTTCTTCTCGAAGAAAGTGATCATTATTGAGAATTGATGTTGTTCTGCAAATTCGATCAAACGGTTTCCTCTGTCGTTTCTTACTCCCGCACCGTACCTTCCTATGAGGTATTCCGTATCGTCCAATCGGGAGCCGACAACTGCGTTGAAATCTCCTTGAACAATAGTATATGTCGATTTAAGCTTCAATGCCGTCTCTATTTCTTTGTAGGAACGTTCGATTTCGTCGTCCTCCGCCGTGATAGTGGGCGCATATACTTGCGCCATTTTGAGCGTTCGATTTCCCAACTTTTGTAGTTTGACCTTCAGAACAGCGACACGTGAGGATATGATATCACAAGGAATAATGTACGGGACCATTTTCGCTTTTATAATGAAACCGACTCTACCTGTTCTGGGCACATTGTTGGATCTTTCTCCCAGCAGAATTTCTTCACCGCTTGTCTACCTCGCTGAGACAGCGCGTGCTCTCCTAGTTTCGCATAAACCGATAATGTCGGCTTTGATCTTTTCCAGTTGTTGTAGATATACGTCCAAGAGAGAGTCTGTCGATAATGTCCTGACATGTGGGAAGCGATGTGCATTTTGATGCGTCCGTAGTTCTTTTTCCGCCCCTGCCTTACACCGAGGTGTAGGCTTGTTGTGCAAAGTCGGGGGTCCTTTGCACGCCCATCTCGGGTCGAGATCATTCTATTTTCAAAGTTTTTGCCGATTTTTCTTTTGCAGCAGTCCATTCGGGTTGGCAGCCCTCTTGTCCTATAGCTGCGTTTTTTTGGCTCGATTGTTCGCGGCTGCTTATTCGATATATTCGCAGCTCGCCACGGGGACGGCCGTTCCTCTATCCACAACCTGAGGATGCGCCAGATGGCTCCGAGCCTGAGCACACTGGATGTATGTATGTATGTATGTATGTATTATGTATGTATATGTATGTTTGTATGATGTGTTGTATGTAATGTATGTATCTGTATGTTGTATGTATGTATTAATGTATGTATGTTTATGTATGTATGTATTTATGTTATGTATGTAATGTAATGTATGTATGTATGTACTGTGATTCATGTATGCTATGTATCGTATGTAGTATGTTGTATGTATGTATGTATGTATAGTAATTATGTATATACTTAGTATGTATGCTAGTATATGTATTTGTGTATGTATGTGTGTCGTAGGTATGTGTGTATGTATGTTGTTGGTGTGTATGTATGTACTGTGATGTCCGTCTGCAAAATGAAGTGAAGTGACAAGGCAGCTAGACGGAGATACAACAAGCCGCCTAACAATATGAGTATGGTACGCAAGTTGGGCTATCAATGTTTCGTAATAGGGTAAAGATGATATTCCCTACGCTTACATATGTATAAACATACTAAGGCATCTTCGGTCATGTCCACAATGGTCTGGCAGTCGGGCCATCTGTAGGGCAGTAGAAGGTGGATTCGAAGTGGATAGGTGGAAAATCAAACGTCATGCCATTGATTATGCGCTGCTTTCACTGCATGGAATCTATTTGTTTCGCATATCGCGATATCGACCGGTCCGCAAGGTGGTGGTGATCAAATGGACAGGGAGCATACGGGACGACTTCCAGGCGGAGGACGCCCATTCGCGTTGAGAGCCCGATAGTAAGATCTGAGTAACTTGAGTAATAGTGGTACACGGAGCACCAGTCGTAGATATAGAGATGAGACACTGGTAACTAAATCAATCAACTAATCACTGGAAATCGCCAATTAGTCCAGGTCAAGTAAATAGTTCTGTCAGTTAAAGCGTCACAGAGTCTGGGCAAAACTATTGTATGCCAATCTTTGTGCCTTGTCGCCTATCCCATGAAATACCACCGTGCTCTCAACTCTGATGATTAGTGTTAAGAATTCACTTAATATAAACGTTGGCTAGGGTGTTCGGTGAGATTCAATGGATTCAAGGAAACCAGAGAACGTGGGCAGCGGCCGGGCTGTCTCCCATTCCCCCCCTAAATCTTTGGCAGCAACATAGCCTCGCCCCTTGTCACCCATGGGCAATTGCCGATCAAATTAGCAAAAACTTTGCTGTCACCTAATCCAAATTCTCCTACACAAAACTATCACATTTTGTGTAACCGTCGTTTGAGTGTTTGCAGTTCAAGCGATGCTTTGAGGAATCCCTGAACACGTCACAGAGGGGGTCGTATTGCCGCTGGGTGGAAGAGAATCGGACGAATTGATGCACGTAGGGTCATCAACGTCGGAGAACAAACATCGAGGATTGATCGATGCGGTCTGGGGATTTCCAACAGTGTTATTCCTCGCCACACAAAAATCATCCGTATTCAAGCTGTCCGCGTAGTGATTCTTAGTTACTTCAGAGCTCTTTATCCCTGACGCCAACAGATCTTGCTAACGACCGCCTTTGCGCACAGACCATCCTCTCGGCAAACGAAAATGGGGACGTTTTGCGCATGGGTGTGCGCGCGTTGTGAGAGTGGTGAGTGTGCGGAAGTAGGAGCCATGGTCTCTAGTTCCCTGAACAGGCTCCAGCTATCAATCACGGCGTGTGTTCGGTCACAAATTTTGCGTTTCCAAAAATTCATACTAGCTTCGAAAATAAGGTATCCCATCCTACTCATCTTGCCCATGCGATTCCAAGCTAAACCGTGCTTAAGGGCGTCCCTAATATTCTTCAATGGAGAATATAACGCTCTAAAACTCACAAAGCACCGTACAGCGAAGAAATTCATGCGAGGCCGCTCCAAATACCTTCCTTATCCACATATCCACCGTTATCGGCTGTTAACCAACTTTGATCCCCCCACCAATATCCGTGTTCTCCGTCCCCTCCACATACATGTATTACCAACAATGTATGAGATCAGTTCCCCTCCCATTTGAGACGGCTTAAAGGTCCGGGTTAAAGTAGTCCGTCAAGCAACTATCGCTGACTTGAGGAGCAGGCGAGAACAATGCTGCGCTATCGCGTCCCCCTCCCTCGAGTTGTTTTTGAAATTGACCTCGCGACAAAAATTTCTTACTACTGAAGGTTACAACTAACACGACTACCACTCACATCCATATTGTATGCAAGGTGGTACATAGTATGTGGCCGAATGGAACCGAAAAACTCTTTGTTTCTCGCCCCAATGCAGAGCAAGCACCAGGGTCAAGCAACTGTCTGAGGAAAATTTGCAAAGACCCCTCCTCCCTCCGCCAGAGCACGATGTCCATGAAACGACCCTCTTCAAAAGCCGAACTAAAAAGGTTGTTTAGTTCTTTCGCAAAACGTTCATGCTTAAGTGATGGCCACGTCGATTACCTTTGCTCGAAGTACCGCCGAAGGTGCTTTTTCTCTGCATTGGCACTATTTCAACGACTATACTCCTTTTAAGGGCGAAGGCAGGATAGCCGATGGTATCAGAGGTTATGACCAGATGTCTGCACTCCTGAAAACCGCGACTCCGATCCTGCCGAGGTTAACCATGCCCTGCAAAATTACAAAAATGGTTCTAGTAACCAGCGTTTAGGCCCGCGTTGACAGGCGGCTGATGAAAACCCTAGTCAACACCAATCATGTCTGAATGTTGTCAAGGAATCAGTGATAAAGCTAGGACGTCACCCCGGAAGTGGCGCGAAGACCCCCGCCCCGAGTTCTGTGGCCAGTATGCGGTGGCTACCGAGGAGTGAACGGTCTCGCCAGAAGCTAGTTTCGAATTGTAACTGGTGAACGTAGGGTCGCTAACTGAAGGTCCCGAGAGGTTGCTGATCTGATGACGCCGCAGAAAATTCAAGTCCTATTGCCTTCAGGAGCGGGATGGAAAGGGGCCAAAGCCAGGGAAATCGGAAAGGTGTCAAACTCTAACTACAATGGGAAAGACATCAAGCGGAATGGTGTGGCCATAAGCGGTAGCGGAGTCGCTCAATGACTATGTCTCCGCTGTGAACAGGATTAGCGACGTATCATGGCTGTGAGGATAGAACACGAACGAGGGGTACTGGACGATACTCTCCGTGTACGCAGCGCAAGCCGGGCTCCGAGAATGAGAAAGGACGAGTTTTTATCTAAAGCCTTGACCATGCCATCAGATCGATTCCGGAAGGTGATTACCTGACCATGGCAGGTGACCTGAATGGTCACGTCGGCAGTGACAGAAGAGGCCTGAAAGGGTGCAATGGAGGTAGAGGGATAGGAACGAGGAACGCTGAGGGAGAGAGGGTTCTGGTGCTGACTACAGCCTACGATCTGGGCCGTCTGCAGCACGTTCTTCACGAAAGATAAGCTCAAAAAGTAACCTGCAGCAGTGGAGGGAGAAAGCGGAAATCGACCATGTGCTGCTAAGAAGATAATCCCTCAAAACTGTCAGGAGGTTAAGGTACTCCCTGCCGAGGAGCTGGCTTCCCAGCACAAGCCACTCCTGGCAGATATTCAAATAGACTCCCTAAGAAGACAAGGGTAAGAACGAGAAGGAGAATTCGGTGGTGGAAGCTGCGCCAAGCGTAGAAGAGGAACCTTAAGCGAAAGATAATAATGGAATTTGGTCTCCCAGATCCCTAACGGGTCAATACAGCGAACTTGGTCAACGCGGCTGAGAAATACCTGCGATGTGCCAAGGAAGTGCTGGCCGAGACGCGAGTGGATTTAAAGGAGATAGGGCAGCGTGGTTTCTGGAACGAGAGGTCCAGCGAGTTGTGAGCAGAAGAAAAGGCATACAAGCGCTTGGCAGAAGATCCGGAGCCCGAAGACCTCGCCACTTAGCAGGAGTTTGCAAAGAGGCTCGCCAAGGCTTGCTGTCGCCAAGGCGAAGGACACGGAGATTGGAATCGCCTTGACAGAAGTTGGAAAGCAGAAACGAAGAGGAGTTCGTCTTCACGACTGGCCAAGAGCCCGCATCGGTCTACTCAAGATATCAGGTGTGGTGAAGAGGCGTGAAAAGCAACAACGGTCCATACTGAGGAAGCCAGCCCAAGTTCAGGAGGAGGTGGGAGGTACCTTAGGGGCTCCTGAACGAGGAGCTCTCCCATCAGAACAACTCACAGGCAGAGGCCACAGCTGTCCCATCGCACTCTTATACTGAGGATGAGGTTAGGTGTGCACTTGGGAGGATGAAGGTGGGAAGGCGGTGGTCTAGATGGAGTGCTAATCGAGGCATGGAAGGCGCTAAAAGTACGGCATAAGGTGGCTCACCCGCTTCCTGAACAAAGGTAACAGTGGAAGGAACGCGATGGACTGCTCCAACTACAAGCGGGATAAATTGACTGCACATTCTTTTGAAGTTGTACCGAGCGTCATGCAGACTGCTCTTGTACAGCTGAAGATGCGAGAGCAGCGGCCTTCGATGGTATGGGCACGTGCTGAGGAGTGCCACAAGACCATCCGATAAGAAGAAAGCGATGGACTTCGAAGTGCAAGGCAAGCGACCGCGAGGAGCCCCAAAGAAGAGGTGGAGAGACGTGATCAAGAGAAAAATCTAAGTGAAGTCATGGCCCACAGCAGAGGACGCTCTGAACAGATTAAATGTGCGACGACTGACAAAACAGCGGACCCTGCGACTGCGCGGACTAACGCTAGAGAGGAAGAAGAAAGCTCCTCTAAAGGACGAATTTACGATGGAAAAGCAACCCATTCTAAATTGAGGTAGAGATGGTGAGTAGTACCAGAAAGAAAGCGAAACCACGAAAAACGGCTCAGAACCGGAGAATTAACCCCTTCTTGTCCGTTGATTTTGAGCATTGATGGGACTCTCATCGCTTGTTGCCCTCTTCCAACCCTACGCTCTCTCGGACTTCTAATCACTCGCCACCTATTGTACTACGCGAAGTGCATCAGGTACGATCGGTGGGCGGAGATCGCCAAACTCGCCAACTTTTGAGCCGTGCCAGATCTCAGAGGTCAAATCTTTCGATGCCGATTGCGTGTCGGTCGCACCCTCAAGAGATTCTACAGCCTCCCCACTAGGGCGAATTTCTCCTTCTTCGACCTTCTTCTTTCCGTGCAATCCTCCTTTAAGGGCGATTATTTACTGAAGTAGGAGCAAATTCGAATCCCGTGCTCTTCTCAACTTTAAACAATTCTCACTGTGAATTTGATGCTGACGACTGCGTTTCTTGTGGATAGTGTACACCTCCCTGTAATCTCACATGAGCACTATCAGAACCTCTTAATTTTTTCCGAGTTGAGACTAGTTCTCCAGAGATATGTATTTGAACCGCATGCAATAACTGGTCCACTTCTAGGATGCGCCGTGTGCATCACATCCCTTCAGTATTCGAGAGACTCACTTAAAAGTTGAAGACATCCTCTTGGAAAACTACCGAATTTTGATTCTTTGATTTGTGTCGTGATAAAAACTCTGAAGTAACTAAGAATTACGCGGACACCTCTGAATTACGATGATTTTGGTGTGGGAGGAATAACACTTGTTATCGAAGATTCCAGACCAAGCGTCGACTCAATTACTCGATGTTTGTTCTCCGACTTGATGACCCTACTGCATCAATTCGTCCCGATCTCTTCCCTCCCAGCTGCCAATACGACCCCCCCCTGTGGACGTGTCAGGGATTCTCTCAAACGCACGCTGAACCTGCAAACACCGTCAAACGACCGGTTACACAAAATGTGATAGTTTTCTGGGCGCATGTTCTCCGGGGCGGAGAAGGGAGCAGCCGATCGCTGCGTTCAGATTCACCGAAACCCAGTTTTAGGAACAAATCTCAGAGGATGAAGAGGGATTCTAGAGGTGCGGTAAGCAGTTCTCATGGCCCATTGTGACGTTTTAACGAGTGGATTAGTTGATTGTAGTCTGTGCTCTAATAAATTGTCACACATTACAATACAGGCGTAATGTGGCTCGGGAGGGAGGGCGGCAGTCGCTGCCGCAGCTCAAGAAGTAGTGTAAACTCGAACATTCCATTCTCACGCATGTTAAAGTGACCCCTTCACCCCGACCTTCCCTGAATTGGCTTCGTTCCCCTGGCTTACTAATTTCGTGCTGCCGTGGCCCCCCGACCACATTCCGCCCAAAAAATAAAAATGTTTACACCAATTCGCACACTAACGAAGTTCACGAAATTGATTGCAATGTTTACGAAATTGCTTGCAAAAAGTGACAATTGGGTTTACAATGACGAAATTGGTTGCAAACGTTTACGAAATGGCTGGAAGAATACGAATGGGCTGCAACGTTTACGAAAATGGTCGCAGCTTTGACGAAATCCATTGCAACATTTACGAAATGGGCTGAAGCGTTGAACGAAATTGGTTGCAACGTTTACGAGAATGGCTAAAACGTTTACGAAAATGCTGAAACGTTTGACGAAATCGCCTTGCAACGTTTAGGAAATGGAATGCAAAGTTACGAATTGGGGGTGGAAACCCTGTATCCAGGGAAACCTTATTAAGAGATTTCTTGCTAGTGTCAGGTTCATGAGGTTTCTATTTGTATACGAACCCCATCAGCGGCCGCCAAGCGCCACTCTCTCTCGAATAACTTTCAGAGCTGCGGTGGTGCCTTTGACTACAGGAGTAACAAATATTGGGTTGGTGCATTATTGCAGCTTTCCTTAAAAAGTTTTACTCAGCAAAAACGATAGAAATATTCATTAAAAGCATGTCCGAAAATGTATTCTGGAGCAGAAGCCACCTTATATTCGAGAGCTGCTTCCTATTTGCTTCACAGTCGGTCAGGCTTACCGCGATGAAGTCATGATCTTGGTGGAGAATCCACACTTCAAAACTGGCCACCAGGTCATCGATTCTACGTGAATTTTGCTCGTTTGCTGTTTTCCAACGATTGATGGACGTGGTAGTCTGTAGGGTTGGTCTGTGAATAGGGCGGCACGTGGGAGCAGATCCCACTCTCTTGACAGCTTATCAAGCTGGCTTTTGCTTGACTGTTCCTTCTCCGTCGAACAATTGCTGGGATTCGTGAAATAACTCTGCCGCCTTCCAAACACATCTGAAGTGTACAGCATAAACTGGTGAACGTGGATTGATTTGCATACGCATTCTGTAGATTAGGAAAAAGATGAAATCCTTCTCATGAAAATAAATAAACAAACCATCAATTCTCTCACAAAAAGTGCGCGGGAAAAGCCGTACTAACTATGCGATCAACCAATTGCAGTAGTAACAAGGTTAATATACTATATGTGACGTACACACAACATCCAGCATTCTATAAGAAACTGTCCAATCAATCATTGATTCGACCAATGGATCTTGTGAAGGTTATCGAAAAGGAAAGTGAAATTGTCTTTAACATTAGTTTGGGCAAAATGGTTGACGTTTTTCAATTTTATTCGATTTAAATGATGGTGTTTTTATTTGTTCTGAGCCGTATTTTTTATTGAACGTAACTAACGCTGCAAATAGTGTCAATCATGTATTTGTTTATAAACCTTTCTTCAACTTCTTGGAAGCGTCTTTGATGACTGCCTGAAAATTGAACATCAATCCGTAACTGGTGTCGGATCTTCTTTTAGAGGACTTGCTCACCTTTCTCGAATCGCGCCGATGTAAACTATTGCGATTTCGTACCGAAGAAATAGGTCCCAATTATATTTGGAGACTTGGAATTGTCACGTCTTCTGAACAATTTTTACCAGGAGTGAAACGGCACATGAAAACGAAGCTATCCTTCTTCTATTTATAAAGTGTGTCGGTTTGTATGTCTGTGTGTTGTGCATGTGTATGTATGTATGTATGATGTATGTATGTATGTATGTCTGTGTGTCGAGTGAAGTGACTGAGAAGCTCAAATGGGATAAACAAATACCGCAACAATCGCGGTAGCTACAGGATTTGAGAATATCAATGTTTGTAGCAAGGATAGTTTGTGATAACACTCTTGGGGATAGTGCTGCAGTGGCAGCTGGAGGCAGTGGAGAGAGGAAGGAGGATGAGGAAGGGAAGCGAAATCTACCGTCACATTCATGATTGTGTCCCTTCTACTGTATGAAAACACTATTGTGCTGCATACGCGTCACTTCCAGGAGGTGTTGGTGTCACAGGGAGGAAGGGACCATTGCGGAGGAATAGAGAATTGCGCAGGAAAGGAAGGTCCCGGCGTTGACGGGGGACTAATCTGGTCCTATATAATCGAATAAGTGGTTGCGATGGAGTGAGTAAGCTGATCGGAAATTTCATAACTTCACTCTCCTTGGACCCAGAGCGCTCATACTTCATAGGATACAGTAGGCGGTCAAAAGTCTTCGCCGGAATTCTTTTTCGACTGTAACTTTTTTCCCGCTGAAAATCAATATCAATTCAGATTTCAATGTTTTGGAGACTTACTACTTCACTTAACCGGCATTTTTGTTTCGGATTGAGGAGAATGGGGAAGGAAAAAATCATTTCCACTAGAATAATTCTCGGCGTTATGAGCAAATTCCAAGTAAGTTTCAAATTACTCTAGCAGGCTTACAATTCAACACAAAACAATCTTACGCATGATGAATAAAACTGAGACAGGTCCAATATCTGTCAATGATCTTCTAGGTTCGCTGAAATTCTAACAGGCGTAAGTAAGAAACAGTCATTGAATGCACTGTCTACTAGGGCAGTTTCCTCCACTTCTCCTGAAATGACGAGTTTCTCGCCCATATTCCCGGCCCTTTACTTCCACCAAAGGTATCACTTCTTTTCCCATATACTTTTGATGGCGCTCGGAACATTGTGTGAATTGTTCCCTTCGTTGAAAGCGCGCCAATGCTATCGATAAGCAATCCTTCACAGTGATAGGTGCGATGCTTCTTGTATGTATGTCCGTCTGCAAAATGAAGTGAGTGACAAGGCAGCTGACGGAATAAACAAGCCGCTAACAATATGAGTAGGTCGCAAGACTTGGGCTATCAATGTTTCGTAATAGGGTAAATGTGATAATTTCCCTACGGCTACATATGTATAAACCTACTAAGCACTCTTCCGGTCATTCCACATGGTCTGGCAGTGGCAGCTGTAGGGCAGTAGAAGGTGGAAGGGAAGGTGGATAGGTGGAAAATCAAACGTCATGCCATGATTATGGCGATGCTTTCCACTGCATGAAACTCCTATTTGTTCCATACGCGTCACCTCCGCAAGGTGGTGGTGTCACAAATGGAAGGGACCATAGCGGAGGACGTAATGCTTACGGAGGGATGGAAGGTCACGGACGGGAGAATAATCTGGTAATGGAAATCGGCCATTAGTCCAGGTTCAGATAGTTCAGCAGCTCAACTTTCTTTTCTTCTTCAAATGAAAGGGCAGGAGTAGAATATATTCACGTGCTAGGGACCTGGTTTAGACAACAGAGTGCGCGCTCAATTTCGCTTCCTTTGTCAGTGCAGTTGCCGATCATACCACTTTCTGTCACCTAAATTCAATCCTCGCCACGTTGGTCGCTTGCCAGCACAATCGCAACGAAGGTGGAGAGACCTGCATTCTGACGCTCCTATCATTCCTTGTCCTTGTCATTTGTTTTCAATTCATACTGCTTGCAATAGGTATCCCCATCCCACTCTCCACTCAACGTGTAGGAGCTCATATTTAGTATACCACGAAGACTACAACGAAATTAGCGGCGCTCAAAATGACTTCCTTATCCACCGTTATCGGCTGTTACCACTTTTGATCACCCACTATCCGTGTTCCCGTCCCATCCACATACATGTATACCACATGTGAGAGTCAAGGTTCCAGTGTAATCGCTAGGATCACAGCGAAACTGGTGATATTCACACTTTGACGCCCCTTAACAATTCTTGTCATTTACAACCACATTCTTTCACACAACTTCTTAAGCTCCACCCCACATATAATACATGAGTGCAAACTCTCCACCGTCAACGGGAACGGCGTAACGAATTTGGTGACATCAGCAGTTCGAGTCCGTAGTCAGCTCTTCCCGCCACCCATCACCTGCTTTCACGCCGACCCCCTATATACAGTAGCGATCAAAAATCTTCGCCGGAATTCTTCCTCGACTGTAACTTTTTTCTGCTAAATTAAATCAGTTCAAACTTTGATATGTTTTGGAGACAGTTCCACTACACTTAAACGGCACATTTGTTTCGGATGGAGAAAGAATTAAGAATGGAAAAAAAACATTTCACTGGGAACTCTCGAGTATGAGCAAACTCCAGTTAAGTTTCAAATCACCGTAGAAAGCTTCTGATATAACAAAACGATCTTATGCATGACGAATAAGATTGAGCAGATCGAATACTCTGAAGTCGCTGAATTCTTAACAAGGCCTAAGTAAGGAATAAGTCATTGAATACACTGTCTACTAGGGCAGCTTAATCCACTTCTCTTGAAATATGAAAAGAAATATGAAATATGAGATAGTCCTACTTCACTTAAACGGCATATTTGTTTCGGATTGAGAAAGAACTAAGAATGGAAAAAATCATTTCACTAGAAATTCTCGCGTATGAGGAAATTCCAAGTAGGTTTCAAATTACTCTAGCAAGCTTACAAATCAACAAAACAATCTTACGCATGATGAATAACACTGAGCAGGTCCAATGCTTTGCTAACGATCTTGTGGGTTCGCTAAAATACTAACAAGGCCTAAGTAAGGAATCAGTCATTGAATGCACTGTTACTAGGGCAGCTCCCTCCACTTCTCTTGAAAATTGACGAGCTTCTCGCCCATATCTCCGGCTCTTATTTCACCGAAGGTATCCTTACTATTTCCCATAATGTTCCGACGGCGTTCAGGACATGTGTGTGAATTGTTCCTTTCGTTAAAGGCGCGCCATGCTGGCGAAGCCACTCCTTAAAAGTGAAGGTATGATTCTTTTAGTCACACTAATGTTAAAAGGCGAGCTCAGTCGCGGGCAACTGTCATACGCGAAGACAAGAGCTCCTTCTAGAACATAACTGTATAGGCTGCCATCACATGATTGCGAATACTGCGAAGTTAGTCGGCGGTGAACTGGTCGGGGGCGAAATGTGCTTACGCGCACCTAAAGTGGGGATCGCCAGAGGGCTACAACGTCCTGCGGACCAAAAAGAGTAAATTCAAGATGGCCTGCGACTGAAATAGGAATGTGTGCGGTCCTAAGGAAAAACGTTTCGATCCAAGGAATTAACTGCCGTATGTAAAACTTGGCGGAAGCTCGCGTGTGGTAGTCCGTAAAAGAAGTTTTACAACTGCACAGGATTAGAAAAGTGGTGAATGCCGACGCATCAAATAGATTCTAGAAGGATTTTCGTATCTGCTCGTATGAAACTGTACGTGTCTGAGTTCGCTTTCTAGCTATATAGCGACCAGAAGCATCGCACCTTCACTGTGAAGGATTGCTTTCGATAGCATGGCGCGCTTTCAACGAAGGGAACAATTCACACCAATGTCCCGAGCGCCATCGAAACATTATGGGAAAGAAGGATACCTTTGGTGGAAGTAAGGGCCGGGAATATGGGCGAGAAACTCGTCAAATTTCAGGAGAAGTGGAGGAAACTGCCCTAGTAGACAGTGCATTCAATGACTGATTTCTTACTTAGGCCTTGTTAGAATTTCAGCGAACCTAGAAGATCATTGACAGATATTGGACCTGCTCAGTTTTATTCATCATGCGTAAGATTGTTTTGTTGAATTGTAAGCCTGCTAGAGTAATTTGAAACTTACTTGGAATTTGCTCATACGCGAGAATTTCTAGTGAAATGATTTTTTCCATTCCCCATTCTTCCTCAATCCGAAACAAAAATGCCGGTTAAGTGAAGTAGTAAGTCTCCAAAACATTGAAATCTGAATTGATTTGATTTCAGCGGAAAAAAAGTTACAGTCGAAAAAGAATTCCGGCGAAGACTTTTGACCGCTACTGTATCCTAGAAGTATGAGCGCTCTGGGTCCAAGGAGAGTGAAGTTATGAATTTCCGATCAGCTACTCACTCATGCAACCACTTATTCGATTATATAGGACCAGATTAGTCCCCCGTCAACCGCCGGGACCTTCCTTTCCTGCGCAAGCTTCCTATCCTCCGCAATGGTCCCTTCCTCCTGTGACACCAACACCTCCTGGAAGTGACGCGTATGCAGCACAATAGTGTTTCATACAGTAGAAGGGACACAATCATGATGTGACGGTAGATTTTTCGCTTCCCTTCCTCATCCTCCCTTCCTCTCTCCACTGCCCTCCAGCTGCCACTGCAGCACTATCCCCAAGAGTGTTATCACAACTATCCTGCTACAAAACATTGATATCTCAAATCCTGTAAGCTACCCGATTTGTTAGCGGTTTGTTTATCCCATGAGCTTCTCAGTCACTTCACTCGGACACACAGACATACATACATACATACATGCATACATACATACATACACATGCACACACACAGACATACAAACCGACTACACTTAATAAATAGAAGGATAGCTTCGTTTTCATGTGCCGTTTCACTCCTGGTAAAAAATTGTTCAGAGACGTGACAGATCCCAAGTCTCCCAAATATAT